ATTTTGTTCGTTCACGCTCGTTCTTTAGTTCACGTTCTTGGGATGGAGTCGACGGAGATGACGAGTTGTCGGCTTGTTCCGGTTTGTAGTTTTAATTTAATTTTAGGTGCGTTATCGGTTTATAATTCTGAAGGGAAGATAGTGGTGTTTTTTCAGAAAGAGAGGAAGCAGCGGTTCAAAGGATAGAGGTGAAACGTGCAATCGATCCGTATTTGGGTATATTCAGTCCAGACGAAGATGGAAGATATGTCAATCACATCCGTACAATTGAGACAAGTGAGCTGCCTCCTTTCAATTTTTTTCCCATACGTTTTTTTCTTTTCTAACAGTGGTTTACAGTTTTCCACCCATTGAAGCATATGGGAAGAATCAACCTCATGCTTGTCCAAAACTGGTTAAGGCTTGAAATTCCCCCTACAATTATGTGAGTTCCAATTCCTTTGACAGAGTGCTATTTTCAGGTTGTTTTACCATAGATTTTACCTGCGAAGTTTAATTTTTTGAGCTAAAATTGCTATTCCCATTCAAGCGATGCAAAACACTGCTAATTCTCGCGCATGCTTTACACATCTTTTCTGCTCTTATAACGCCCGATGGTGTTTTCGAACATCTGAGCAAATTTCAGATACCGGATTTCGTCTGGAATTGCACCTCGCGAATGCTGCGATGAACCATCCAGCACCTGCAAAGAAAATCAGATACCAAAGGTGTTTTGCTTTGTCCTATCTTTTTGATGTAAAAACGAAATACTGTTCAGATTCAGAATTCTACTTTTGCTACTCTCACGGAAGTTGAAGAAATGGGCTGGATCACGATAGTGGATCAACGCCAGACCGATAGGTGTATCATTTGTGAACGGTAAGAAGTTTTATAAATGTCATAGTGTTGTTAATATGTGGAATCGGCGAAATCGCTGTCCTTACAACTTTATTTAGGATCTAGGTTCACTTTCTCAATTTTTTTTTTGAACTTAATAATCTACTGGCTAATGTATCAAAGCGTTAAGTTACTTTTGAACTCGATCAAAGAAATTGTTAATGTTTATTTTA